GTGAGAGTTAACAGGTGGCAGGGTTCACTCTATTACTTACTGCATGGAGGATGTAATCATGATTCAGAGCTACCCAGACACAATCTTACTGCACTATAATATGAAGTTATGCACAATATCAGTTACTTACCAAAGATCTGCAGTCCGTAAGGGGTCATTAAGCCTTGAGGATTAACCCTGAGAGGCATCCCCGCTCGAGGGGAGACCACCACCGTGCAGCCAGCTGCTTAGCAGGGAAAGCCCAAAGAAGGCTCAGTTAGGCTGTCAAATTTATGGGATAAAGTGATTGGTTTGTGGTCAAATTACATGTGATGGAAAAAGTATACATGAAACTCCTTCTACCCACAACTTCCTTTGTTCCTTGACAAATGAGTCTTGGAAGAACCACCTGCTGTTTTTGTGTTAATCACACAGTCCATGTTCCAGTTTCCAAGCTCCTATGCATCAAGGCTCACCATGTCACCCTGTTCCTGCATGTACTTTCAGAGAACATGGAACTAGAGAAGTTCTTGTCCCAGTTACAGCCTAGGCCTTTACTGCCTTTGGAGCCTGAACCAAACTACCACTAGTTTGGTCAGGGAGTCAGGCCTGTCCATTGCACCTGGCTACGGAGGAGGCCCTGTACCTCTGGGCCAGGGAATGCAGAGATGACAGCTCCTTTTGCTCTCTCTTAGGTACGGCACAATGGGAATCCGGTGAGGCCGCATCACTGTTCATTTATGGCACTTTAGCCACCAACCCCTTTGAGTACCACATACCCACCCTTGTGGGGTTTGTAACAACCCTGGAAGGAGCAGGCTGCTCCGCCTGCCTCATCCGCGTGTGCCATCAGTCCAGGCTAGCAGCATGGGCCTCACACCCTGACCACCCAGGCCCACAACAAACTGCTTTCTCCTCAACTGCCTGGGAGGCTCCTCGGAGTGCCAGGGAGAAAATGGGATGCAGAGAGGGTGGGTTGGCTGGGTAAGGAGGTACAGGGGAGCAGTTGGCTAGTGTTCTTGGACATTGACTTAAACATCTCATGGAGTTCAACAAGGCCAAGTGCAAGGTCCTGCCCCTGGGTTGGGGCAATCCCAAGCACAAGGACAGGCTGGGTGGAGAGTGGATAGAGAGCAGCCCTGAGGAGAAGGACTTGGGGGTACTGGTGGATGAAAAGCTGGACATGAGCCGGCCGTGTGCGCTGGCAGCCCAGAAAGCCAACCGTGTCCTGGGCTGTATCCAGAGCAGTGTGGCCAGCAGGTCGAGGGAGGGGATTCTGCATCTGGACTCTGCTCTGGTGAGATCCCACCTGGAGTGCTGCGTCCAGCTGTGGAGCCCTTTACAAGAAAACCATGGACCTGCTGGAACAGGTCAACAAAAATGATCAGAGGACTGAAACACCTCTCCTATGATGAAAGGCTGACAGAGTTGGGATTGTTCAGCCTGGAGAAGACTCCGGGAAGACCGTATTGAAGCCTTCCAGTTCCTGAAAGGAGTATATAAGAATGTTGGGGGCAAAGTTTTTAGTAGGGCTGTAGCGACAGCATGAGGGGCGATGGTTTTAAGCTAAAAGAGGGGAGATTTAGACTAGATATTAGGAAGAAGTTTTTTACAATGAGGGTGGTGCAACACTAGAACAGGTTGCCCAGAGAGGTGGTAGAAGCCCCATCCTTGGCAACGTTCAAGGCCAGGCTGGATGGGACTCTGTGCAACCTGATCTAGTGGAAGGTGTCCCTACTCACTGAAGGGGGGGTTGGGCTAGATGATCTTCAAAGGTCCCTTCCAACCCAAACCATTCTATGATTCTATGATCTCTGAAGTCTTTTTTCCTACTGGGAATAGCTTGGCTTGCAGTCATGGAGAAACTGCCAGGGAGAGGGCATGGCCACAGGGGGACGAGTGGTGATGCCCTAAGAGCTCTGCCCAGCCAGCGCAGAAATTAACACCACCAGCCCATCACACACCAAAATTGCAGCCGGTCAGGGGGGCACGTGTCACCACTGCTCAAACACATTTAAGAAAGAGCAGTATGGGGGCAGGAGAAAATGGAAGAAACAAACTGGACAAGACACATATAGGATTCTGGGGACAGAGCAAGAGATCCCCACTTGGGAGAAGGTGCTTGGTGCCAGAGGAAGGACTCCTCCAAGGCGACTGCAGCCTGTGGGCAACTTATGTAGGGCAGGGACACTGGTGAGGAACTGCAGACGATCAACGCTGGGACAGGGACACATCTAATACGCTATGAGCCCTGTTCTAGATGAACAACATAGGATCCAAAATAATACAACATAATCCTTCAAAATATCTCAGGTCAAGTTTGTTTGGGGGCAGGAAGCAGGGGAAGCAATGCACTCAAGAGAAGCCTGAACTTATCCTCCTTTACCACATTCTTCTCATTCTCCTTGGATCTTCCCTTGCTTCTGCAGCTTCCCTTCCTTGCTTTCTCATCCTGTCTCCTCTTTGGACCCCAGTCCTTTCACATCTTTTCATCCTCCCTTCCCAACTGTGCTGGCAGATCCTAATTCTCTGTCACTCCTTCCACTGCATGATCTCTTCTACATCCCTGCCGGCTCCCCAGTCTCCCGCCCTGTCACTTATGTGTTCTGTAAAAGCAGAACAAGTGTAACTTTCTGACTCCCACACTCTCAAGGCTCACAGCAGGACTTAAGGTAACAAGGTGGTTTTTCCCATCATATCCACTGGTTTGTTTTTTTTCCCCCTCAGGGCCTACTAAATGCATCTTGTCTGGCAGTGACGTCCCCTCCCACTGGAAATTGTACACACACACACACACTTCTTCACAATCACATGTCACATAACACCTACAGTCTGTGTAAGTGCTGTAAAAGCTCATTTCTAAAGTCCCATCCATGTCCTCATAATCATTTTCAGCTAACTTCCTCTCACTCCAACTCCCTTTGCAATAAAGCAGCTTTCCCAGATTGCCCTGGGTTCCTCCCATGCACTTCTCCTTCCCTTCCTGCATTTCCCATTTGCCACTCTCCAAGCCTCTGCGTTCAACTTTTACTTAACAGCAGCAAGAACTGACACTGTACATCTGTCAAGGTTAACATGCCACCAAGTGCAAATACGTGGATGCTGGAAGCAAGAGCGATTCAGATCGGCTCATACTGAGGCAGCTTGCCTAGCAACCACCATCGCCATTTGCCTCTGCCATGAAAACTGTGCTGCTATTCTGCAATCCAGAATGTCAGCCAAGAGGCACACATTAGTCAGGAGCCATTATTTGAAAATAGCTTGATGTTTAAAAATTTTTTAGTAGTTGTTTACATTTTGGCATTTCCAATTAAGATTATTTGTTCAGTAGAAAGAAGAAAAAGATAACAAAAGAATAACAAGGAAGAGCGATTACTCTTGGTTGGAAGGAAATAGTTTGGACCTACTGGGTTTAGGGATAAAACGTTGTTGTGGAAGTTGAGTCCATAAATCTTGCACAGTGACTTCCTTGAGCTTTGTTTAGCCTATCAATGAGGCATGCAGAACCAGTGATGACAGTCACAGGAAATGCTAAATCAAAACCCCTCTAACTCATCACAGCCTCGATGACTTGCTCTGCTTTCTGAATCAGCGTGATGAAGACTGTCAAGAATGCACACAACCTTCTTTGGCACTACCCTTAACTGGATCAAATGTTAAAGACGTCAAACAATTCCAGCACAAACCTGGCTGCACCAGTTGGTAATTCCCATACACTAACGGGATCCTCAGGTAGTATAAAAACAGTTAATCATTTCTCTTTGTAGCCACGGGGAGCAGAAGAAATTCTTTGCAGCCAACATGGCAATATTTTCATTAAATATATTTGAAGGGTGCCAGTGAAAAATTCTTTGCATTAACAAGTCTGGGTTTTACTCCTTGTGCCTACTCTAACTTTTTTTTACTCCTCATAGTGTAGTCCTCTAACATCTTGGGTTTCTTCATTTCCACAGAACATTGTTTTCTATGGTAACCTGAGCACCAGTAAGTAATTTTGTCAGAATACTCTTACCCTACAAATAAATAAGTTGCATGGATGAAGATCCCATACTTCTTCAACCCGAGCTCATGGGGTTTGCCAGTACTAATGGACTGAATTCTGTCTATCCCCTCCAAAATGCGGTGTAAGCAAGATGAGCAACCCTATGTCTACACTAGCGAGCAGCTCAGTGCAGTAAGAATGGCAACACTTGGTGATGTTCCAGGGGTGTTAGTTTAGACTAGTTGCACTCTAGTGCCATGGACAAAATGACCGTCAAATGGTGGTGCCCATCGCTTGCACACCAGGAGCTCATCATCTCCTAGATGAATTTCAGCCAAAAAATCCAGTTCACACACTCCAAGACTGTTCTGGAGGTTGAAGCATGCTAAAATGAGACAACTGGGAGGGTGTCTTCAAAAGCACATTCCACATCAAACACAAATGTGAATGTAGACAAAGTAAGTACAGATCTGCTATGGAATAATAAAGTTTGAATGGCAAGGCATTCATTTATTATAATTAAAATTTGAGGTTCTTTTAGTCCTGTCCTCCCTACAGCTCTGAAGACATTCTCATGTTTATGTTTTAAATTATTATCCTCTTCACAATTTACAAACACAGAAGTGGTGACAGATTAAATGACTTGCCCAAGGCCACAGTAAAAATCATAACCAAAACTGAATATAAAACTTTTCCAGCTTCCTCTCATGTGTTTTTTTTTGCCACAGACTTGTACCACACCTTTCATTCTGCCAAAAAAACAAAGGATTTAGGACTGTACCTCTATGTTAGATTACTATTAGCAATGCTTCCCTACTAACAGCTCATCCTGTAGAAAAATAATTAAGATCTAATATGAAAATACATCTCTATCTTCACTTGCTGAATATTTCTTTTATGGATTTTTTAGACTACTTTCCACTTGGGAAGACAACCACAGAACTCATTAAAATGTGCTTTATCTTTAATTACGTCTTAAAACGAATACCAAAATACTAGTGAATCACACCCTAAAGCATACTGGAAAATGTTTTCCAAATCAATCATCTACATTTTCCTGTAACCAGTCAGCAACTTTGGTTAGCAGCTCCCTCCTTTCCATGTTTTCCAATTTTGTAAACTCCAGCAGTAAAGTAGCAGCCTCTCTCTCATCCTCTTCCAGTGTAGCATTATAAAACACCTGCAACTGAAGAAATAAACGCATGAGCTTAGTTCACGTAACTCACCTGCAGCAAGCAACTGCGGACCTGACAGATGCTTTAGACAGAAGTGCACAGAAAAGAGGGAGACGGCAGGGACTAAGGAGGGGATGGGGCAAGGTTACTGATTCGCGCTAAGGTGGGAAAGCAGCTTGCACATCAGGAATGTGCCCTTTTGCCACCCCTCTGAAAACCCTTTCAAATGCAGCCAACTTCACTAGTACCGGTGGTACCACACAGTGTCTAGGACTAGCAGAACCCTCTTGTGCTGCCTGTTCTATAATCACACAACAAGCGTCTTTCCTATCAATCTAGGGGCAGAAGACAAGAGAGTAATGAAGAATAGCAAATAAATATATAGGGAGAGCAGGAAATGAACAAGAAGACAACTGAGATAGACATCAGCGTGACAACCAGGACCCTAACATGCCAGCAGCCCAACTTTTGGTACATTTCCTGTAGACATCATGGTAAAGGTGATCTCCACAGACAGACTTAAAAGAGGAGAATGGGAATGCTTTGATGTTTATTGGGATGCAGTTCAAAACCTGAAGGTTAACTTAAAGACTGGTGCTGGGCTATTGCTGTGGCCATCCTGGAGACTTGACTAGTCCCTAAAGAAGAAAGGGTGAAAAACTTAGAGTTCACGCATGTTCAAGAGCAATTTCTTTGATTTTAGGAGCTAACTCTCTGGATTTCTCTCCTCATTAATCATCCCTTCTCAGTTACTTGCTGTATGCATGCCTCAACAAACAGCAGAAAAAAGGGAAACAAAGTTTTTCTGCTAATGACAACCATTTGGGGTTGGCAGAGCAATCACATGCAGACAGCACAAAAGCTGAGCTGTTGAGAAAAGAAAGTAGTATTTTGGGAAAGAATCTGGGGAGACTTGGACTGGAGGCAAAAGAGCAAGAAAAGAGTATGAAACGAGTAGCGACAGTCATTAATTTGTCACAGGCACTAACGTGGATCATGGTGGAGAATAAAGACAGCACACAGCCACCTCCCTCCCGCCCAGATACCCATTTTCAGCAGGTTTCCCAAAACCCATCCCCTTTTTCCAGACGTACAGCAGCCCGATTAGGAGGCACTGTTCAGGGGTTCCCCTGGGCTGCCGCGCTGTCAGAAGGAGAGGGCTGTATCTCACGTGGCCGGCTGTCCAGCGCACGGACAGGCAACCTCTTCCACTGCAACCACACAGGGCAGGACCACATCCATTCCTGCACAAAAGCTTACTTTCCTGCCATGCTTAACCACCCGCCCTGGGTGCCTGTTCATACATTGGTTTCCAGATGAGGAAGTTTCATTTTTCTCACAGCAACATTACACAACACATTCTATGATCTCTTTAAGAAACGAGATTTAAAAGGCTGTATTTACAAATGGGCAATAAAGACAAAACTAACAGCTTCTCTGATTTACCTCTTGGATCTGTACATCTGTATTGACAAATCTTCCCATGATTTTTAATACATCATGTAATAATTCATTCCCATACCTGTAAAATTGACATAAAGATCCTTCAAACGACATGTCAGCAAATATACTAAATTCCATCTCAGCTGAAAACAATGCCACTATTTACTTCTTATTTACCATGTTGGAAATACCGACCAAGCTAAATTTGCAATTGTGCACTCTTTTTTCCCCGTTTAAAGAAATATCATTAACATTCAATTCAGACATTTGAGCAGGATGATGTACCCTAATTAATCTTCATTTAATTTCCCAGTAAGATCTGGTACTTCTACCTTGGTAATGGGAATTCTTTCCTTAGAATGGAAGATCTGTGAGCCCAGAGAGCCAGACTGAGCTAGAAAGGCTAACCAGTAACGATTCTAACCACTTGGTGTTTCTGTCGGTATCTTGAGGACGGTGCATAAATTAACACCCACACTATTCTTTTAATTTGAAAGTAATGGGTCAGTTTCCCAGCAAATTTATCATCAGTATAGAACACAGAAAAGCCTTGTAAAGGAACAAGTTGGTGCGACACAAACCTGCTAAACCTGCCTTTTCTAGTGTTAGCAATACAGATACACATTCGAATGCTCCCAGGTGGCTGGTCTTGGCTGTGCTGCCACTAATGGCTCCCAATGGACTCCTCTGCTACCAAAGGCAGCAGGAACGTACTCTGCCTCAGCCCTGCTGCTTTTCACCATTGCCAAGGAGAGAGGGAGTCTTCAAACAGACATCAAAATACCAGCTTTGGATGAGACAGGTAGCCCAAGCTGACTGCAGTTTACCTGCCTCACTGCAGATCGGCTGGAGATGCATTAGGACTTAAGCCAGGGAATAACACTCTAGTTACTACTTGCAGCACTCGTAAGCCTCTATGCTCCAATCCCTCATCTCTCCATACTCTCTTTGGAAAAGAGGTTACAAATCTTACGCCAGCATTTTACATCCATGTTTGTGAAACAAACGCTACTGGATAAACCCATCTCTAGCATCAGATTTTCCAGGAAATTTAACATTTAAAAGCACTGAAACAGTCATAAACAGACTAATTTTTAAAGCATTCTGTGTCTGACATGAGCTCTTCTTTGACAAGAAGCCCCGATCAGCATTGAATCCTCTGGCAACCCTGCTCTGCATGCGTAAGGAATTGCATCAATCACTGCAGAAGAGGCCATCTCTGTAAGGAAAATCTGCACCTGGAGTTCACAGCTCAAACATAAAGATGGAAGAAGAAGACAAAGAGCCACAGAAATAAAGGAAACCCAAAGGTGGTTGTTTACCATACCTTTCACTTAAAAGTGGCCAATTTTCTGTAACAAATTCCCAGGCTATACGGTGCCCAATGTCCTTAGTTACCACATATAAGATGATGACTGAAGTACAGTTGGAAGAAAATAATGTATCACTGAGTCCATATTGCAAATATCTGTTAGAAAAGAAGGTAAAAATTGAACCTATCACTTGCTGTTTAACAGTGGTGATTTGGAAATATCATCTAGTTCAGGAATATTCAACAAATACCAGAATGTGGAAGGTTATACCAAAGTTGGTCACTCTGAGCTGCGTATTCAGCCTGGATTTTTGTCCTGACATTGGTGAAATCCCCTGTTCTTGCACAAAGACTCTCCACTTCTCAGCAAAACGAGAGGATGTCAGAACAACATATGTGCTTTTCTCATCTGTGTTAAGGAAAGGCAACTACTGCCCGACAACTCTGTGGAAAAGCAAACAGCTCCTCAGCTTCTCTGTGACACAGATGCAGGCTAGAAAGCAAGCCAGCTCCGAGACACTGTTAGGTAAAGGGGACCTGTTTATAGGGTCCCCTATAGCAACACACGGGTCTTGGATGCTTTCATGGGGGCTGAGGCATGTTTTCAGAAGTACTTAAGGAGCTACCTGCCAATGATGTCAGTGGCAGTCAGTGCATAAATATCTTGAGAAAGTAAGTAAACATTCTACTCTCTCTCTTCCCACAGCGTATAACTCGCATGCTCCTGCTCCCAAGGAGCACTTTCGGAGAGGTACCTTCTCCTCAGGTCTTGCAGGCAGCTGCTTTATGGGTAGAGTAGATGAGCTGGGTTTCTCCCCCGTGCGTGCCACCTCCATGCTTAACAGAATGGATGAAATACGCCAAGGGCCGTGAAAAGCCCAGCTAAACATTCCTCCCACCAAAAGATTTTCAGGGTGGCATTTAGGAAAATAGATTGGCTTATCAACTTCTAAGGTACAGGGAGGAATGAGGTCATCACAGCTCCCTGAGCCTGTCAGGGACCAGCGCTAGCCCATGCCAATGAAAAGTCAACAAAGGATCACAGCTTAGGTGGAAAATCCGTGTGGCTCGGTGAACATTGCTTTGCAACCCATCTTGCCTACTGCTAAGGCATATTTGTTCTGTCTTCTCAAATGTCTGCCACCACAAGAGCAGGCGGCTGGCAGGAGAAAAATTTTGCTAATTTCAGACCTTTACACCCACCCAGTTTATGCCAATACTTGACGATCATTCTTTAGGCCATCAACAGCAAATTTCTGTCCTTTGATGAATCCTTTAGGCAATGTGGACATGAAAGATCAGAAAATTCAGCTTCAGTATCCTTTTACTGATAAAGGGAAAAGACTTTATATGGATGAGAGTGAAGATATTAAATACAGTATTCCAAGCTGTGCTCAGGAAATAACTGGACAACACTCAGATATATGGGGTGGTGATTCTCCTCCATAGTAGAGTAGAGGTGGAGGTCTCTCTATCTCTCGTGAGACCACCCTGCAGTTCTGCATCCAGCTCTGGGGTCCTCAATAGCCGAAGGAT